TCTCTCTCTCTCTCTCTCTCTCTCTCTCTCTCACACACACACACACACACACACACACACACTCTCAGGAAAAAAAAAAAAACTTTCCTGTGAATTTTCACAGCTATGTGATAAGTGATCCCTTCCAGTTGCCTCCCTCCTGCTATTAAGACCCAAATGCAGTTCCCCCGAGGACAGGGTCAAATCCAGTTTTCACCTCGGTTTTCCACCTCCCTTTCCATCCACCCAAGCTTGTCAGTGCAAGAAGCTCCCTAACACTTGCTGGGAGAGCCTGCAGGCTGGTCTGGGTTGGATCTCCAGGAAGGACTCGGGAGACCACCGATCTCAGAACGCTCTAAGTTTTCTTTTGCAACTATGCCTGCACAAACAACTTCTTTCCGAGTCCTCAATGTTCCCGCACTTCAGTTAGCGTTCCAACTTTCAAGTAGCTTCTCCCACCCTCCTCCTCCCATTCTTTCCCCTTCAAGAGTGAATGGGGAAATGCTCCACACGTCAAAAGCAGCAGGGACCCTCGCCGCTGGAACCCTGCGCGGGTTTATCTCCACACAAAGCCCGGGGGGAAACTGAGTCTCCCTCTGCGGCGCGGGGCTCGCTGGGGCCTCCCGGAGCGCTTACCGATGTCAGAGTTGCAGAAAGCATCCTGGGGATGGCTGGGCGAGCATGTGCACGCCTCGGCGCCCCAGTCCCCCAGGCTCCAGCTGCCCAGGAGCACTACGAGTCCAAGCCAGGGAGTCATTGCCGTTGCTGCCGTCCGCTGCGGGGACTGCTGCTCTTTGCAAAGTTGCAGAGTGCGCCGGCGGGGCTGCTGCAGCCCGAGCTCTCTCTCGGAGCGCCGGGCAACTTTGAGCTCTGACTAGCTGCCCTCCGAGTGGCCCGGCGGGATGGGCTGGGGCGCGGCGAGGCGGCCGGGGCAGCTGGAGCACGTCTCCGGGGCGAAGGAGCGGAACCCGAGCCGGAGGAGCAGGAGGAGAAGCTTCCCTGCGCCTGCCGCCTGCCTGCTGCCCACTGTGCGCCGAGCCCCGGGCTGCAAAGATATAGCGCGGGGCGCTCGGGGCCCGCCCCCTCTGACCAATGGCAGAGCCGCATTACCTCATCGGCCCTCCAAAAAGGGGGCGGGGCCGGGGCCTGGGGCCGGCCCGGACCGTTCAGATCCTTATAGGGAATAATGCGGCTGTGGGCACGCGAGTGGGTGGGCTGGGCGCGTCCTGGAGCAGCGCACTGCTGTCCCCCGAGCGGCGCCCCACGCCCACCCGCCCTCCTGGCGCTTCCGACCCTAACTAGGATCCGCTCCCAACTCTCACCAAGCCAGCCAGCCAGGCAACCCCTTCCCGGGGGCCCAGGTGGCCCGCCCGCGCCCTGGAGTCCTTGACCCTGCCTGCTAGAAAAAGTCTAGAAGGAAATTTTACATTCTTACCTTCCCTAGAGAAAGACCCAGGCAGATGAGCAGATGGCATCGTGTTTCTCTCTCTCTCTCTCTCTCTCTCTCTCTCTCTCTCTCTCTCTCCTGGCTAGGAAGAAGCCATATGCCTTTTGGGGCTGGCTATGATACTTGTCACTGAATTCATTCTCTGTTCTGGATGTTAGAGTAAGCCAAACTCACCTTGTTCCCAAAGTCATCTTGTAAGGTGCTAGTGCTCCTAGGAAACCAGGCCCGAGACAAGGCAGGTTAAAGCTTGGTCAGAGACAAGCCAAGGTTAGGATGACTGTGAAAGTGCTGCCTTCCTGGGACAGTGAAGAACAGGGCTCTCTGAAGTGACATCCCAGAGGATCAGCCCTGGAGGATCAGCCCTATAGCGATCTGTACAGCATACAGGGAGAACAGCAAGTACAAAGGCCTGGGGCTCATTTGAAGAATGGAGATAGAAAGGAGAGAGTGACAGGCAGCAACCCTTGCTTCAAATTGGAACTTTGGGGTAAACTGATCCAAAAGCAGAATGAAACTAGATCCTGGAGAATTATCTAGGCTTCTAAATGACTATAACGGGATTGTGAATAATCTCAATGCTATCAGTACCCAATTTAAGTAACATCTGACTCTGATGTGTGTGTGTGTACATATGTTATTGCTCAGTATTGGTCTTGAACTTGCGATCTTCCTGCCTCAGCCCCCCCCCCCACGAGTGCTTGGGTTACAGGTGTGCTGCACCACACTTGGCCTATGCTATATGGTTTTAAAAGCAGGATTGCATAAACCACCTTGTTATATCTCACAATTATCCTTCTAGTTAGGATAAGCAGGGCAAAGTGTGTGCACTCTGGCTGAGGAAACAGGCCCAGGAAGGGGGCGCCCGGGTCTAGCTCTCCTGCACACTGTTCAGCCTGAGAGTACTCTTTCACAGTGCGGGAGCTGTCCATCTTTCTTTACTTTTTTGTCTCCCTTTCTCCCCCTCCTCGTCCTGTTTTGGAGGGGACTCATATGCTTTCACAAAAGAAATGTTGAAAGTTTACAACAAATGAGAAAAATGCAATTTCCTCTCTCTCAGAAATCCCTTGGTCTGTCCCCAACAGGAGAGACGTTTTGTGTGTGACGAAAGCAGAAAATGTGGTAAATGCTATTTCCAAGAATACTTTGTTGTTGTTAGGGTGTGTCTTTTGTTGTTGCTGCTGCTATTGTTATTAGGCTGGCCTTGACCTCTTGATCCTCCTGCCTCAACAGCCCAAGTACTTCCAAGAACATTTTGCAAACTCCTTCCCCACCTAAACATTCTATCCACAGTGAAGAGAACCCAGCTGCCTCATCTTGAGTCTTTCTGACTTGTCCCTACTTACCTCTCAAGTGTCTGCCCCATAGTGCTGCTTCCCTGCCCCCACCCCACACCAGTGTTCCTTTAGCCCTGTCTCATGGGCTAGAGTTATATTACTCTCCTACCTGACTAGAAACCCTTGGAGGCCTGAGATATTTGGCCACGCTGCATTTTAATCACCCTGAGGGGAGAAAAAGGGGTCCCAAGAGACTTGAGGGTAGATATAGACAGTAGTCATCTGAGAGCCGAGCCATGGGTACCCTGGGGCTACTCTGAGGAACCAGGTTGATAGAGGACATATTTGGTGGGGTTTAAGCAATGCACTGAACCTCACACAGTCACGTGGAAGGTTTTAGGAGACTTTGTAGACAAATCCACTTGGCATAAGCACCTTACATGCTAAGGCCCTCTCTTCCTTCTCTCTGTCTACAAGAGAGAGCCTGGTCTGGAACCGAGTACCAGGCAGCTACCTTCTGCCACATGTCGCACAGCCAGCTGACCCCTCACAGAAGCCCTCTGAAGCCTCTGTCCCAGCAGCTGTTTCCTTGTAATGCAAGTGCCAGCTGATTGTTTTCCCAGCTGGGAGGTGGTGATGTTGCCTTTTAGTTTATTTCTTCTCAATCTCTCTCCTAAGTTGGTCCACCCAGCATTTTTGGAGTTCAGAGAACCCCGAGAGCCTTCTGGTTGGAATTCTCCTTTCTCCCTAAGCTAAGATCTTCTCTCCTCTCTTCCCACCTCTGCAAGGTCAGCTTAGCCATGACCCTGTGGGCCAGAAAGAGGAACGAGTTCCTTGAGTCTTCATATGGGCTCCTCCAAGCAGGTGCACCTTGCAGCCATCAGTCTGAACATTAGGGTACCCACAGGGCTTTTTCTAGTTCATTTAACAAGCGAGATTGATTGAACCTGGAGCTCAGGGTACAACTGGAGATGCTAGCTCTCCTGCTTTCTTCTCATAGCTAAGAACAATGATGGATTTCTAAATCTGGGGTGACTTGAAGAAGTTTCAACCAGCAGCTGGCATGTTCTCAAACCCATGACCTGCTGACCTGCTTTTCCCTTTGGTAAAATGTTTCTTGGGAAGGTGAGGCCATGTCTACTCCCTGTGTATCAAATCATAGTTGTTAGAATCTGTAGGAGACTTTCAAAGATGGTACAAAGGAGCTCAGACACTACTCATCTTTGCTTTCTGCATGAGAAAAACAAAGTTCCGACAGGTGCAGGAGCTTGCAGTGTCTCAGTCAGATGGAGGCAGCGGTGTTTGTGTTGCTGGAACCCATTCCTAGGTCTCTGCATCACAATCACAAGGCTTAGTCCTCCTGGCTAGGGTGTGTGTGACCTACTGCTTACACTCTGGCCTTGAAAACCCCAGCCATTTGCAGGCTCAAATCGGAAGGAAAATGTTTCCAAGTCTCTCTGTGTAGTTGGTCCATGGAGAATGGCCTACACTGGATAAACAGTTCTCCATTATGATAATAGACCCCCTTTGAGCGATTCAACACAATATAGGGCTATAATTAAGAGGTCTATCTCCTGTGTGTTTGTTTTTTTCTTTCTGAATTACTATCTAATATCGTTTGAAAACATTCTGAGCATATTTTACAAAGACATGCATGAAGACTTCCCTTCTGGAAGAGAAAAGAAGGCTAGGCTAAAAGAAACACATCCAGACCCGAGACCTGTTGCAAACATGACTTAAGAACAGTCACACTCCCACCACGTGGACAAGTCACGTCCCCTCTCCAGGACTCAATTTCCATGATTATTGGATGAAAGACATTACTTCATTCTCTCCAAGATGCCCCTTGGCTGAAAAAAATAGTCTAAGCTTCCAGAAGAAACTCTCAGAGACAAGGCAAGAGGTTCTGACCTTCAAGGGAAGGTAGATTACACCACACGAGCAGGTTTCACACAAAACAAAGGTGCCTAAGACCATCTGCCAGCTCTCAGTCAACACTTCCTGAACTCCTATCCTCTTCCAAGTCACAGGATGAAAAACCAAAGAATTCCAGTGGAGACTGTGCTGGCAGAGGTGTAGAGAGACACAGGGTCCTGTTTCTGGTGGAGCCTCTTGTACTTACTGATTCATCTTTCTGTTTGTCTCATGGGTAGGAAGCATTAGAGGGCAAGGAATCTGTCTTCTTTGTCTCCTAAACTCAGGGACCTTCCAACCTCAGCTTAGCTGTTACCTCCTTGGCGGAGCCTTCTTCCACTGGATCCCCATCGCATCATTGACTTCTTTCACAACATTTAGTCAACTCTAATGTGGTTGTTCATTAATGGCTGAATAGATCCAGAGGTCCACAGCAGTCCCAGGGTGTTGAGCTAGGCAGGTGGCAGCTCCCAGGAGAAACTCACCGAATTTATCCCTCTGACCAATGCTAGGGGGAGCTGTAAGCCAGAAAACACCCATTCTCTGAACCTTTGGTCTGTCAGTCTCTCTGAGAAGCTTGAAGAGGTACAGATCCACGCCAGCCAGTGGGGTGCGGGTGCCTTGAGTGGGTGAAGCTAACTCCTCCCGTCTGATGGCCACAAAGCTCTCAGTCAACATAGCGTCTGGGTCTGCAGCTGCCGAGCTCCTCCACCCCTGGGCTGGCCCCATGTCAGCCCGAGGGGGAGAGGCTCACTTGGGAAGCGACACACACTTGTGAATCATTAGTTTGGGGGCCATGACAAGGTCTGGGAATACAGTGGGGGATGCTACGGTCCCACTCCTCCCAGCCAGGCTCTAGAAGTTCAGCCTGGAGGTGCTGACAAGCCTGGGTCACGTCCACTGCCTCCTAGGGAGGCACCTCTGCTTCCCTCCCTTTCCCCCTCTAGACCCTAACCACAATGCCTTCCCCCAAACCCACAGTCCATGTGAAAGTCATTATATTCAAAATAGCCTTTTCCAAGCAACAGACAGCCTGGTCCACCCATCACCAGGAGCCCTGGGCAGACCCTCAGCAGAGCTGCTGCTAGCACTGGGCAGTTAGGAGCTGAAGGTAGGTGCCTCGGGTTCTTTCCGTGCCTGGCACCAGCAAGAGACGAGCACCTTTCCTGGCTTCCATCTGGAACCAATTTCATGGCAGTGAAATTGCAAGGGGTTTCTTACCCCTGCTCCTCCAACGCCCCTCCCCCCTAGCCCCGCCAGAGGAGGGAAGACCCCTCAGTAAGGTCTCTGGCTGTGTTCACGTGAATGCTGGGGTTTTCGTATTTCTTTCCACAGAAAACTGCTCCCAGGAATTTTAAGCCAGAAAACACATGTGTGCGGTAGAGACATTTTTGTATCCTGTGTTTTCTGGGGT